CCGCCCCATTGCCCTACTTAATTCCGATTACAAGATTTTCACTAAAATTTGGGCCAACCGACTGTCCGGAATTATTTCCAAACTCATACATAGGGACCAAGTGGGCTTTGTACCTGCCAGACACGCTGCAGATAACACCAGGAGATCTATTGTCTGGTTGACTTGGTTAACCGATTCTCTACCCCTGCTGCGTTATTGAGCTTGGATGCTCAAAAAGCCTTCGACCGTTTAAGTTGGCCTTACATGTTCATGATCTTGGAAAGATTTGGTTTTAGGGATCCATTTGTAGCAGCCTTGAAGGCCCTTTATTCATCCTCCTTCTCACAGGTCAGATTAGCTTCTTTTCTTTCTCTCCCCTTTCAGATGTCAAACGGCACACGTCAGGGTTGCCCGCTCTCTTCTTTGCTGTTCATTGTCTGAAACCATTAGCTATCGCCATCAGGAGGAATCCGGATATTCGCGGGATACAATCCTATTCCCATGAGTACAAGTTATCGTTATTTGCAGATGACATTCTCCTCACACTTACGAGCCCCCACACCACCTTACCGATTTTGCATAAGACTCTGAAACAATTTGGGGCTTTATCAGGCTACAAAGTCAACACGTCCAAAACTGAGGCACTCCCAATACATGTCCCACCTGCCGTTCTATCCTCGCTTCAGGAAGCCTTTCCCTACCGGTGGTGCATCCACTCTTTAAAATATTTAGGTACTAATCTTACTTCCTCTTACCAATCCATATCCGAGGCTAATTTCCCCCCACTATTTATAGCAATTTCTCGCTCTCTGAAACATTGTGATGCCTTGCCCATCTCTTTCTTTGGACGCATTAACGTCTTAAAAATGACCGTGTTACCCAAACTTTTATACCTGTTTGCAACCCTCCCCGTACCCGTTCCTATGTCCAAACTTCACTTCCTTCAGAAATCTTTCCTACATTTTATATGGCACAAGCGGCACAGGATTGCACGTTCTGTTCTGCTCTCCACGCGCTCTGGGGGGGATTGGGGGCGCCAGATATAATAACATACTACTATGCAACTCACCTTCGTTTTCTCATGTCATGGTCCACCCACTATCCTCCTAACACATGGACTGAGATTGAATCATTTCAACTGTCCCCAGCTCATCCATGTTCCCTCCTTTGGTCGACCTCAGCAGTGGATGTCTCTTCCTTCCGCCACCTATTCCGTGGTCCCATGCACTTTTCACTGTTTGAAAGAAATGTAAGGCTAAATTTACACTGGCCTCTGAATGCTCCCCACTGACAAATATCCTCTATAACCCTAATCTTCCAGACAATATGGCCATATCCCGGATGTCTCTCTGGGTGGTAGCTAACCTTTTTCAATTGCGTCACTTGGTACACCCAGTGACTCATAAGTTACACTCATTCCCGGATCTTCAGAAAAAAGCTTCTCTACCTTCTCATCACCTATATATATATTTTCAAATACGCCATTTTTTTCTACCCTATCACCCTCATTGATCCTGGGGAAGCCTACTCCTTTTGAACGTTTATGTATGCAGGGTCCCCACCAAAGGGGTATTATCTCTAATACTTATAAACTCCTTATGAATGCCCCCCCCTTTATCCAATGATGCCCACCTTTACATGCGTAGGTGGTCTCAATTTGTACAACGTGATATTGATATGTTAACGTGGAAGAAAATTTGGGAAAATGCATCTAGATCTTCTGTCTGTGTGGTTTTTAAGGAAAATATATACAAGCTCATGATGTTATGGTACAAAACTCCTGAAGTTCTTCATGCTTATAATCCGAATGCTTCTCCTGCCTGCTGGCGCTGTAGTAGAGATCCCGGTTCTCTCTATCATATCTTTTGGACATGCAGCTCCATTGTTCCTTTTTGGGAAGAGGTTCGCTCCTTGTTGCAATCGTTGTTGCATATCTCTCTCCCATTTGACCCACTGCATTTTTTGCTGGGCTTGCCATTCCCAGGTTTACCTAAACTGGCCAGAAAACTTGCTGTACATGTTCTGACCGCGGCCAGGAGAAGCATTCCTTTGTGTTGGTCATCTTCTATTCCCCCTTCATTGCCGATTTTGTACAAACTTATTGCTGATGTAAGACAGATGGAGTATTTGACTGCATCACATAGTTGTTCGTTTGCTGTGTTTGAGATGATTTGGCTCCGTGGGATACCTTCATTTCCTCTATGCCGGCCCAAAATGTAAGACCCTGATTACTTCCGCACTGTTATGTGATACCACTGGTCCTGACCATATGTAGTTTTGCCATCGATGTACCTTTCTGTTATGCTTATTTTCTTTCCTTATCTTCTTTAAATCATACTGTTTGTAATCGCATGAAAACCAATAAAAATTGTTAATACAAAAAAAAAAAAGGGCCGGGAGGCACCGGCATGAAGAGGTTAAACTGGTGTTTGTATGAGTTGAAATGCAGTATGGACCACTGTTTTCTGCACCATCTTGTTGGTACATGGGACATTAAGTGTATATTTGATCATCTTCTCCTGCCAAGAGACGGCTGGTGCTTGCAGCTTGCATTGCTTGGGAACAATTTTTTGGACATATTGTTGCCCCTGGTATGGTGGTGATCAAGACCCACTGGTATGGTGATCAGGGCCCACTGGTATGGTGGTGATCAGGACCCACTGGTATGACAGTGATCAGGACCAGTGGTATGGCAGTGATCAGGACCAGTGGTATGATGGTATGGTACGGTGGTTATCAGGACCAGTGCTATGGTGGTGATCAGGACCCACTGGTATGGCAGTGATCAGGACCAGTGCTATGGTGGTGATCTGGACCCACTGGTATGGTGGTAATCAGGACCAGTGGTATGATGGTGATCAGGACCCACCGGTACGGCGGTGATCAGGACCAGTGGTATGGTGGTGATCAGGACCCACTGGTATGGCAGTGCAGACCCATTGGTATGGCAGTGATCAGGATGATGGTGTGGTAGTAATCAGGACACTGGTGCTGGTGTACAGCAGTCTGACATCACTGCAGTGAGGGACTGATGGCTGGCTGTGGTTGGTTCACACTAGACACTGTTGGGCAAAGATCACAGATACTGTGAGCTGGCTGGCAATGTTTTGTGAGTGTGTGTGTGAACTATGTGCCAAGGCTGAAATCTACTCACAGCTGTAATGGCTCTCTCACCTCACAGATGATGATGGGGATAAGGGCCCGCTGGTATGACAGTGATCAGGACCCACTTGTATGGCAGTGATCAAGACCCACTGCTATGGTGATCAGGACCCACTGGTATGGCAGTGATCAGGACCCACTGGTATGGTGATCAGGATCCCGCTGGTATGGCAGTGATCAGGACCTGCTGGTATGGTGATCAGGACCCGCTGGTATGGTAGTGATCAAGGACCCGCTGGTATGGCAGTGATCAGGGCCCACTGGTATGGCAGTGATCAGAACCCGCTGGTATGGTGATCAGGACCCACTGGTATAGTGATCAGGACCCACTGGTATGACAGTGATCAGGCCCCGCTTGTATGGCAGTGATCAAGACCCGCTGGTATGGCAGTGATCAGGACCTGCTGGTATGGTGATCAGGATCCACTGGTATGGTGGTGATCAGGACCCACTGGTATGGCGGTGATCAGGACCCACTGGTATGGCAGCAATCGGGACCCACTGGAATGGCAGTGATCAGGACCCACTGGTATGACAGTGATCAAGGCCCACTGGTATGGCAGTGATCAGGACCCGCTGGTATGGTGATCAGGACCCACTGGTATGGCAGTGATCAGGACACGCTGGTATGGCAGTGATCAGGCCCCACTGGTATGGCAGTGATCAGGACCCCGCTGGTATGGTGATCAGGACCCACTGGTATGGCAGTGATCAGGGCACGCTGGTATGGCAGTGATCAGGACACGCTGGTATGGCAGTGATCAGGACCCACTGGTATGGCAGTGATCAGGACACGCTGGTATGGCAGTGATCAGGACCTGCTTGTATGACAGTGATCAGGACACGCTGGTATGGCAGTGATCAGGACCCGCTGGTATGGTGATCAGGACCGGCTGGTATGGCAGTGATCAGGACACGCTGGTATGGCAGTGATCAGGACACGCTGGTATGGTGATCACACAACACACTGGTAAAGCTGTAAAGTGGTGATCAGGACCAGCTGCTGAACTGTTTTTCTTCCATGGTGAAGATCATCCATGGAGTATATCTGAGGTGTATATCAGAGGGTCAGAAAAAAGCCCCTCTAAATGTAGCCCGACTAATATATTTCTTGGTATACAAGGCAGGCCCCTCCCATAAAGTCAGAATAAGCAGGCTCATCAGTAACACATCACCGGGAAGATCTCAAAGCTCCTTGACAAAGGAGAACACGACTGTTAGACATTGCACATGCTAAAGAACATGATGTTTTCGTCCCAGGTGACGTCATCACGCTAGCACTGCGGTCCACAGTGCGTTCCAGCCCTGATTTCCAGCTGTGGGATGTCCGCTGGCCACCATCCTCCCCCATAGACAGCGCACACACCACACCGATCACTCTGGAGTTCTTCCCGGTGATGTGTTACTGATGAGCCTGCTTACTCTGGCTTTATGGGAGGGGCCTGCCTTGTATACCAAGAAATGTATTGGGGGGCTACACTTAAAGGGGCTTTTTCCTGCCCCACTTGTCTTCTTTACACGGCAGACAGATTCTGCTCCAAGGACAAGCTTGTCCCCCCGGATGGACTCTAGCAGACAGACATCGGTTTTATTCACTGAATTTTATTGGGACTTTTATGTGATATTAATCAGCATTCATCTTCATAGACTTGGGAACAACGTAGGAAGTGCCAATTGTTTGTGCCATTCCTTCCCAGGTGTGTGTACATCAGGGTGTGCTTCTTCCTCATATGAGAGCTGGGATGTCCAGCAAAATTCATCTAGAAGACATTTCCCGCACTCAAGGCACTAATACACCTCCAGGGTTGTGTGGACCCCTGATGTACAGGAAGACAGGACTTCAGTGAGGAACATTTCCCTCACTCAGGACAGGAACGTGGCTTCTCACCCGTGTGAGATCTCTGATGTCTGGAAATATTGCACTTCCATGAAAAACATTTCCCACACTCAGGACAGGAATATGGCTTCTCCCCTGTGTGAGATCTCTGAAGTGTGTGTAAAGACTGGACTTCACTGAAAAACATTTCCCACACTCAGGACAGGAATATGGCTTCTCCCTGTGTGAGATCTCTGATGTGTGTGAAGATGAGACTTCTGTGGAAAACATTTCCCGCACTCAGGACAAGAATACGGCTTCTCCCCTGTGTGAGATCTCTGATGTTTATGAAGATAGGACTTCTCTGAAAAGCATTTTCCCCCACACTCAAAACAGGAATACGGCTTCTCCCCCCATGTGAGATCTTTGATGTGTGTAAAGATTGGACTTCAATGAAAAAAACATTTTCCGCACTCAGGACAGGAATATGGCTTTCCCCCTGTATGAGATCTCTGATGTGTGTAAAGATTGGACTTCACTGAAAAACATTTTCCACACTCAGGACAGGAATACGGCTTGTCTCCCGTGTGAAATCTCTGATGGTGATGAAGACTGGACTTATGTGAAAAACATTTCCCGCACTCAGGACAGGAATACGGCTTCACCCCCGTGTGAGATCTCTGATGTTGATGAAGACTGGACTTATGTGAAAAACATTTCCCGCACTCAGAACAGGAATACGGCTTCTCCCCTGTGTGAGATCTCTGATGTTTGTAAAGAGTGGACATCTGTGAAAAACATTTCCCACACTCATGACAGGAATACGGCTTTTCCCCCGTGTGAGATCTCTGATGTGTGTAAAGAGCTGACGTCTGTGAAAAACATTTTCCGCACTCAGAACATGAATACGGCTTCTCTCCTGTGTGAGATCTCTGATGTGTGTACAGAGTGGACTTCTTCGAAAAAACATTTCCTGCACTCAAGACAAAAATATGGCTTCCTCCCTGTGTGAGATCTCTGATGTGCGTAAAGAGTGGACGTCTGTGAAAAACATTTTCCGCACTCAGGACAGGAATACGGCTTCTCCCCCGTGTGAGATCTTTTATGCCCATTGAGTTTGGATTTATAACGGAATCCTTTCCCGCACACAGTACAGGAGAATCTCTTCCCTGTTGGAGGGTCGGCCCGGTCCCGCACAGTCTGAGGTTCCTCAGGATACGAGGAATCTGATGGTCCATCTACACTGGGTAGTGCCGGATGGACATTGGAGGGAGCCGGGTTTTCTCCTGGACTATACTGTGTGATGTCCTCATCTTCTACTTTCCAGTCTGGAGACAAGTGAGACAATCCTCTGAGGTTTTCCTCATCTCCCGGCCATGGACTAAAATACAAAGACAAAGAGGATTACTAGACAGGAGCTGACTGGTTCCCCCAAACCAGGACTCCGCCCACATCAGGCAGCTTGGTCTCTGAGGAGCTTACAATTCCACCATCAAGGGAACTAGGAAATGGCTCCTCTGATCTCCTACCAGGTCATTTCTTTATTCATGGACCTTAGTCAGAGAGTGAGGAAACAACCATAATTGTCTTTTATAGGAGGGACAGTGATGAGGGGATTATAGGACGAGGGTCCCCACCCCCTCTATCACTCATCGCCATCTTCCCAACACAAGAAGTACTGCACTTCCTTATTTACTCCATGATTTAGTCATGAAGAACAGCGGGGCTGAGCCCCACCAGAGGTCAGAGAGTGAGGATGGGGGAGTACAACCAAGATGAAGACTGGACTGATCCTAAAGACCACCATCTTTGGGGTATTGACACCACTCCCTCATTATCACTTTCTGTTTAAGGGTCCAAAGTTTGGAGGATGTTATCACATTATTATCACCATGTAAAAGTCTGTGCTCCAATCACATCATCCGATATAAAATGTCCAGCTGGGAGGAAATGGGGGGGAACAAAAGAGAATCCATATTATGTATATATATAGCAGTGGGGGGAGGGGGAGAGCAGAAGTCAGGGGAATATAGATTGTACAACAGAGTATATAGTGCAGGGGTCAGGAGTATGTAATGTACAACATAGAGTATATAGTGCAGGGATCAGGAGTATGTAATGTACAACACAGAGTATATAGTGCAGGGGTCAGGAGGATGTAATGTACAACACAGAGTATATAGTGCAGGGGTCAGGAGTATGTAATGTACAACATAGAGTATATAGTGCAGGGGTCAGGAGTATGGGAATGCGCAACATAGAGTATATAGTGCAGGGGTCAGGAGTATGTAATGTAAAAGAGTATATAGTGCAGGGGCCAGGATTATGTAATGTACAACAGACAGTATATAGTTCAAGGGTCAGGAGTATGTAATGTACAATATAAAATATATATATATAGTGTGGGGATCAGGAGTATGTAATGTACAACATAGAGTATATAGTGCAGGGGTCAGGAGTATGTAATGTACAATATAGAGTATATAGTGCAGAGGTCAGGAGTATGTAATGTACAACAGATTATATAGTGCAGGGGTCAGGAGTATGCAACGTACAACATAAAATATATAGTGCAGGGGTCAGGAGTATGCAACGTACAACAAAGAGTTCATAGTGCAGGGGTCAGGAGTATATAACGTACAACAAAGAGTATATAGTGCAGGGGTCAGGAGTATCGAATGTACAACAGAGTATATAGTGCAGGGGTCAGGAGTATGTAATGTACAACATGGAGTATATAGTGCAGGGGTCAGGAGGATGTAATTATACAACAGAGTATCTAGTGCAGGGGGGGTCAGAAGAGGATGTAATGTGCAACATAAAGTATAAAGTGCAGGGGTCAGGAGTATGTAATGTACAACAAAGTAAATAGTGCAGGGGTCAGAAGTATGTAATGTACAACAAAATATATAGTGCAGGGGTCAGGAGTATGTAATGCACAACAGAATATATAGTGCAGGGGTCAGGAGTATGTAATGTACAACATAGAGTATATAGTGCAGGGGTCAGGAGTATGTAATGTACAACATAGAGTATATAGTGCAGGGGTCAGGAGTATGGAATGTACAACACAGAGTATATAGTGCAGAGGTCAGGAGGATGTAATGTACAACATAGAGTATATAGTGCAGGGGTCAGGAGTATGTAATGTACAACATAGAGTATATAGTGCAGGGGGTCAGGAGTATATAATGTACAACATAGAGTATATAGTGCAGGGGTCAGGAGTATGGAATGTACAACATAGAGTATATAGTGCAGGGGTCAGAGTATGTAATGTACAACAGAGTATATAGTGCAGAGGTCAGGAGGATCTAATGTACAACATAAAGTATATAGAGCGGGAGGCGTGGCTTGGCGCATGACAAGCTATGCAGCATTTCTGCGCAGCTCTTGGCCTGGACCTCCTTCACAGGCTCCTATCTCCCTCCAAGGCTCTCCGCATCCCTCCCCATGTGCAAGAAACAACACTGGATCCCCCAGGGAGCAACGGGGGACCGGTCTGGCGGCCCAATAAGCTGGTTCCTGGCCCAATCCACGGCCGAGACCTCGGGTGCCCCAGCCTCAAAGATGGCGCTGATGGCTCTTCCCTCCTCATCCCTCTTATACACAGGGCTGCCGGAAGATGGGCAGGTAAGCCCATGGGGCTCTATCTCTCTCTCCTGGGGATCCTGCAAAAGCACCTTCTCCTGTACTGATACCACAGGACTTGCAGGAGTCCTGCAGCCCCTCTCCTATGCAGAGATTGCAAGACACACAGGGTTCCCACAGCCCCTCTTCTGCTGAGATTACAAGACACACAGGGGTCCCACAGCCCCTCTTCTGCTATGAGATTACAGGACACACAGGGGTCCCACAGCCCCTCTTCACCACTGAGACCACAGGACACACAGGGGTCCCGCAGCCCTTCTTCTACACTAAGACCACAGGACACACAGGGGTCCCGCAGCCCCTCTTCTACACTAAGACCACAGGACACACAGGGGCCCCGCAGCCCCTCTTCTACACTAAGACCACAGGACACACAGGGGCCCCGCAGCCCCTCTTCTACACTAAGACCACAGGACACACAGGGGTCCCGCAGCCCCTCTTCTACACTAAGACCACAGGACACACAGGGGTCCCGCAGCCCCTCTTCTACACTAAGACCACAGGACACACAGGGGTCCCGCAGCCCCTCTTCTACACTAAGACCACAGGACACACAGGGGTCCCGCAGCCCCTCTTCTACACTAAGACACACAGGGACACACAGGGGTCCCGCAGCCCCTCTTCTACACTAAGACCACAGGACACACAGGGGTCCCGCAGCCCCTCTTCTACACTAAGACCACAGGACACACAGGGGTCCCGCAGCCCCTCTTCTACACTAAGACCACAGGACACACAGGGGTCCCGCAGCCCCTCTTCTACACTAAGACCACAGGACACACAGGGGTCCCGCAGCCTCTCTTCTACACTAAGACCACAGGACACACAGGGTCCTGCAGCCCTTCTCCGGCTTCTCTTTGTTCTGAGGATAGCTGGGATCTGCAGTCCCACATGCGATCCTTACACACTTACATCAAATCTCTCCCTATGAAGATGGATTTTGAGCAGTGTGTGAAACGTATTGAGCGTACAAACAGGAAATTTGTGCTCTTAAAACAAGACGTTTGTACGTGTCTGGAAAGGATTGAAAGTACCGCTGATGGCGTAACTAACGCCTTACAAACCCACAAAGAGACCCTTAACTCCCACACGGTCCCTATACAACATCTCATGTACCAACAAGATGACATTGAGAACAGAAACCGCCTTAACAAGATGCGGATTAGGGGCACCCAGAATCCATTGAATCTAAAGATTTAGCCGCGGTGGTTACCACTATCTTCGATCAACTCTTACAGCGACCTAAAGACACCTATATAGAGCTGTATCGAGTACATCACACGCTGGGCACCAGGAATCCTGATCCATCTTTTGTTCATGACACCTTGTGCAGGGTTCACTACTTCAAGATCAAAGACGCCATCATGCGTGCAGCCAGCTTGCAGGATACCATTGTATTCAATGAAGTGCCGGTGATGCTACTTTCTGACCTCTCCCGCCAGACTCTGGCCATGCGCAGGGCTCTGTGTCCTCTCACTCAGATGTTGCAGGAAAGGCATATCCGCTATCATTGGCGATTTCTGTTTCAACTTCAAGCTTCACAGCATGGTAAATCCACTCAATTCTGCACTCTTGGAGACTGTCCCACATTCCTAGGTGTGCTCGAGCTACCTCAGGTGTCCCTCCCGGACTGGTCCTTTCAGCTCCCGACACCAGGTCTCCCATTTCCCTCTCCCTGGCAGCGGTCCGTCCAAAAGAAGCATTCCAGGTCCTCTTCCCAGAAGATCCCAGAAAGATGATCTACTGTCCAAGTAATTTGAGACGTTTGCACCCTTTTTTCTATTTTTTATGGGTTGATTGCCTCTTTTGGTTGCTCCTGTTGGTTCAGTGACTTTTATATTTGTGCTTGTTGCCTTCCGGGCCCTGGGGCCATGGCTCAAGGATTGTTCTCGGGTGATACTGTTGCCGTTTGCTGTGGTGGACTGGGGTGCCTCCAGCCATGGTCTCAGGGGCCTTGGGCCTCCCTCTATTCACCTCATCTGCACCTGGTTATGTGTATATGTTTATCTATTGAGGAAGGTGTCTATTTTTTCATGCCTGTTTGAGGGTTCATTGAATATGTTTTATAAGGGGGGTCACTCTTGTCTGAGGGGGACCCTCCCTGAAGTTACTAATTGCCTGTGGGAGGCCTGGGTTGGGATCGAATTCATGCGCCTTTGACGTTCCCCACCTAGGTCTTCAGTGTACTGTGTTGTACCACACTGTATGTTTTTTCAGACAGCTTGTCTGTTAGTTTTTTTTCTTCTGCTTTTCATTCTTTTTCTGCTCCCCCCCCCCCTTTTTTTTTCTTCTTTTCCCTTCTTCTCTTTTTTATCCTTTCTCTTCTTCTTTCTTTTCCTCAGAGCTCGGGAGAGGTTTTGCTCAGCATTGCTTGTGATGCGTCTTTTTCCTATTTGCTCCACTGCCAATGACTAGGACTCCAAATTAAATGTTCCTCTATTAATTGTAGGGGCTTCAACACTCTGGAGATGCGGGGCCAGATGCTCTATCATTTTCACAAATACTGCTCCTTCAGGAAACTC